CAGATATGACTCTCCCCACAGGTGAAGCAGCCATTCCCCTAACCGAACCCAACTGGGACTATCAAGATGGCCAACTAGGTCGCCGACCTTATAGCAGCAATGCAGGCAGTGGTTAACCTTGATAAGCTGAGAGAAATCACAGAGGATCCAGATGAGAGCCTTATTTCTCAACCGCCTTATGGAGGCCCTCACCAAATATACTAAACTGGATCCTGAGACTCCCTCTGGGGCTACAGTGTGAGCAACCCATTTCATTATTACTCAATCGGCCCATGATATTAGAAAAAAGCTCAAACGAGCTGAAGAGGGCCTTCAGTCCCCTATCTGAGATCTGTGAAGATGGCCTTTAAAGTTTATCATGTCCAGAAGGAGTCAGCTGAACTAGCTAAGTAGGCTCCATTGCAGAAAAAGGTAACACTCCAAACCCAGGCCTTGGCAGCGGCCCTGAGGCCTATGGCTCAAGCAAGAGCTCCACAGGGGACCCAGCATTCCTCTCCACCAGGGGGGCTTGCTTCAAATGTGGATGCGAAGGTCACTGGGCTCGCTAATGCCTAAACCCAAGGCCTCCTTCCAGGCCACGCCTCACTTGTTAGTAGACAGGACATTGGAAGAGTGACTGCCCCATGGCTGGCCCTTCCTTGGTGCCTCCATGCGGGGGTATGACCAGCCAGGCAGTCCCTTCTCTTGAACTATTGGGGCTCACAGAAGACTGAAGAAGCCCGACTCGAGGACCCCCATCACCCTCACCAAGCCCAAGTTAATGCTCCAGGTAGCGGGTATCCATAAATTTCCTGTGGACACGGGAGCTACCTATTCTGTCTTGTTCACCCACTCTGGGCCTCTGTTTCATTCCCAGGTCTCAGTTATGGAGATTGACGGCAAACCCTCCTCCCCAAACCGAACTACTAAGCTGGCCTGTACCCTGGAGGGACACCCTTTCACACACTCTTTTCTGGTCGTTCCATCCTGTCCGGTTCCTCTCCTAGGCAGAGATGTTCTCCAATTATTAGAAGCCACCCTCCAACTACACCCCAAGAATACTACTATCTATCTCTTTCTGTCTCTAATCCTTACCCTCTCTAAAAACCTGACAGTACCTACTGTGCCATTGACCCCTGACCTAGTTGATCCCCAGGTCTGGGACATCTCCAAGCTGGTCATAGCCTCGCACCACAAGCCAGTCCGTATCCAGCTGAAACCCCAAACTAAATTTCCTTCGTGTTCCCAATTTCCCATCACCAAAACCCACAGGGAGGGACTTAAACCCATCATAGACTGATGGGTTTATCACCAGAGGAATGGGTTACTTGCCCAGGGATTCCTCATCCCTACTGACTCCCCCTGCAACACCCGCATATTGCTGGTGCACAAACCCTCGGGAGCCTATCACTTAGTCCAGGATCTCTTCCTAATTAACTAGGCGGTTATTACCATCCACCTGCTGGTTCCCAACCCTCACACTCTTCTTTCTCATATCCCCCCTTCGACCACTCACTTTACTATCCTGGATCTTAAAGCTGCCTTCTTTACAGTGCCCCTCCATCCTGACCCTTATTACCTCTTTGCCTTCACATGGGAAGACCCTACATCCTTCAGGTCTCAACAGCTGACATGGACAGTCCTACCCCAAGGCTTCAGGGATAGTTCCCTCCTCTTTGGGCAAGCCTTGGCACAGAATCTAACTGCTTATGACTTGGGGACAGCATTCTCTTACAGTTGGATAGAAGCCTTCCCTACCTCCAGGAAAACTGCTGACAATGTCGCCTCCATCCTCATCGAGCAGATCATTCCCAGGTTCAGACTTCCTGCCTCCAACCAGTCAGACAATGGTCCGACCTTCACTTCTCAGGTTGTTCGACTAGTCTCCAAAGGCCTCATCATCACCTGGAGGCTCCACATTCCCTACTGTCCCCAATCCTTGGGTCAGGTTGAGAGGGCTAATGGCACTTTCAAGGATCATCCCTCTAATCTTACTATTGAACTCAGGCTGTCCTGGCCCAATCTCCTGCCCATTGGCCCTCACCCGAATTCAGGCAGCCTCTAGAACCCCCTCAGGCCTTAGCCTCTTGTAGCTACTCCATGGGTGCCCTTCCTTAATCAACCAAAGCTTTCCAGTCACTTCTCCTCCCCTTGTGTCCTACCTGCCCTATCTCACACTTCTACACAAACTCCTAAGAGAACATGCAGACCAGTGTCTTCCTGTGCCATCTGTTACCTCTATCCCAGCACCACACCAGGATCTGAATTGGACCCTCTTCAACCGGGTGACGCAGTCTTACTTCAATCATTGGAACCTCGATGGATGGGACCCCCTACAGTTATACTTACTCCCTCAACGGCAGCCAAGTTCCTGGGCCATTCCCCCTGGTGCCATGTCTCCTGCCTTAAGAAAGCACCGTTCCAAATGTCCAGTCCTGGACTTCCACCACGCTGAGGCCCACCAAACTCAAATTTTCTCTCCAACCCTCTTCTTCTTTTACTAATCCTTAATCTCTCTCAAGCTTCTATCCCAACCCACAGATGGCGCTTCTACACCCAAGCGACACGGAAGCAGGATGGCACCACTTGCTCTCAGTTTACGGGTCAAGGCGATTGCCCTTCCACTGGCTGCAATCGGGCGGTCACCCTTAACATTACTGGGTTCAAGCAGGCCACCTCGTCCCACTTATGTTCAGCAATGCTGTGCTTTATATCAGATCAAACTGAGGAATCTTGTAAGTGCTGGCCTGACACCTATGGTAGGTGCCCTTATAATAATGGGCTTCTGGTGTTGATGATAAATTTTATTCTTGGGGTTTTGCCAAGCACCCCTCAGCCCCTATCAGATTATGGAAAACTTATATACAACTATTCCTTCAAATTCACATAACCATCCAGGAGCAAGAGAGGGAACTCCAACCCCAGCTGGATGCAGTTGCCCATCCTAAAGCTGACCCTTTCTCTGGCTGGCCCTAATATATCAGGGCCTTCAGCTTCTCAATTTATGCAAAGTTAATAACATTTCCAACTGTTTCCTCTGCGCAGGTTTGGGTCGTACTCTGTTAACTGCGATTCCCATTGATCTTCTCTCAACACCTCAACTAGACCCTAAGGACCCCTCTCTCCAGCCTTTGAGGAAGTCCCTCTTTTTTGTAATTCATCAGGGAATTTCCCCTACTGCTACACTGCCTCTGGTTCAGCACCCTGTGACCCAATCATTCTTTCAGATTTCTTCCCCAACCTTTGTTCTGCCAGGGTTCTTTTCCTGGTGCAGTGGTACCCTAACAAAAAATCTAAGCCTCAACATGCCCTTTGCTTTTTGTGTTCCTTCCCCCAATTAACTCTGTACAGTGAGGCTGAATTAACATGGCTTGTTACCACCTCCCTTTCCAGGGAAAGATGGGCCGTCTCTCTAGCAATAGGGGTTGGACTCTCCCTGGCCTCCTCCCTTGCTGCCTCTCTCACTTCCCTACAAAGGCAGATAACATCCATTGCCCAAGTTTCATTACAGCACCGTGGAGCCCTCCATCTCCTGACAGAGACAAAGGAGGAACCTGTCTATTCCTGAAAGAAGAATGCTGCTATTATTTCAATGAAACTGGATTGGTCGAGGGCTGGGGATGTGGCTCAAGTGGTAGCGTGCTCGCCTGGCATGCGTGCGGCCGGGGGTTCGATCCTCAGCACCACATACAAACAAAGATGTCGTGTCTGCCGAAAACTAAAAAATAAATATTAAAAATTTCTCTTAAAAAAAAAAAAAAGAAAGAAACTGGATTGGTTGAAAAGAATGTCGACACCCTCTGTCGGTTGGGTGAAAGGCTTAAACAGCAACAAACGACCCCTGGCCAGGCTGGCTAAACTCTGCCCTCATTACGTGGCTGACTCCCATTCTCACTCCTATGTTAGTAATAGGATTTCTATTAATGATTGCTCCCTGCCTCCTCAGGTTAGCTTGAGTGAAATTGCCAGAGTGACCTACAACCAGATGCTCCTACACCCCTACAGTCGCCTCCCCAAGGAACCAACACCAGAGCCACCCCCTTCCCCCCACCCCACCCCAAGCCCCTAGCCAGCAAGAAGTAGGCAGATGAAATTTGCCACCCTATATCATCAAAAAGGCCTGAATGTAAAGTCGGTGGCGGTGACTTAGGAACAAAGTACCAAGCAGCCCGTGGGTGCAAAAGAAACATCAGGCACCAATGGAACCACCTGTCAATCAGCAGGGTCTCCTGGCCAATCCTGGATCTCAGCCAGTTCTCCTGACCAACTCCACTGGGACAAGGGATTCTAAAAATCCCTTTTCCTGTCCCAAGCCCTTCCCTTCCTGCCCCATCAAATTCCAGTCCTGTCAAGCCCCATGGGGTTTCCCCTCAATTAAAAGAAATTTTATTTATTTTGCAGTTTTGGCGTATTAAAGAACGCAGTGCCTATGCATTCTAGGCAAGCATTCTATCCCTGAGCTAGATCCCCAGTCCTGTATTTATTTAAACCTTTAGTTAAAATTCTTAGGTTGGAGATTTGACTGAGTGGTAGAGTGCTTGCCTAGCATGTGTGAGGCCTTGGGTTCAATCCCCAACACAGCAAAAAAAAAAAATTTTTTTTTTTTTTTAGTAGTCAGGTGAGGAGGCACATGTCTATAATCCCAACTAGTCAGGAGGCTGAGGCAGGTGGATCACAAATTTGAGATGAGCCTTGACAATTTAACATGACCCTGCCTCAAAACAAAAATGTAAAAAGGTCTGGGGTATAGCTCAATGGCAGACCACTTGCCTAGGATACAGGAGGCCCTGGATTCAATTCCTTGTACAAAACAAACAAACAAAAAAGTAAATGGATAAATGCAATGTGTTTCTTATAAAAAGAAGATGTACATGATGCCATTCCAGTAACAATATTAATAAAAACCATGAATAGCAAACTTAACATTTACAGTGTTTTTTATACACAAGGCACTGTCCCAAATTTATTACATATTTATATTAGTTATCCACTGCTGCATGAAAATCACTCCCAAAACTTAGTGGCTTAAAACAACAAATATTTATTATCTCACACAGTTTCTGTAAGTCAGGAGTCTGGCTTAGCTGGTGGTTCAGGGTCTCTCAGGAAGATATGATTAAAGTGTTGCCTAGGGCTATAGTCATCCAAAGACTTGATTAGGGCTGGAAAATCTGCTTCCCGGATGGGTTGCTCAGATAGTTATGGTTGTTGACAGGACACCCTTGTTCATCCTCATTTGTGTCTCTCAGTTGGCTGCTTCACTGTCTTCACCACATAGAGGCTGACCTGCTACAGAAAAGAGATTGAAAGAAAGAACCAGATACAAGTCTCAATGCCCTTTATGACCTAATCTTGGAAGTCACAGAACAAGACATCTACAATATTCTATTGGCTATTAAGTTCAGCCACATGAAAAGAGAGTCTCCACCCACTTAAAGGAGCTCCCTAAAACTTTTGGACATTTTAAAATAGCCTCATATATTAACACATAAAATCTTTTCTTGGGGGGTGGGCACTGGCGATTGAACCCAGGGGTACCTTACCACTGAACTATATCTCTGCCCATATTTTTATTTTGAGACAGGGTCTAGATAAGTTGCTGAGGGTCTCATTAAATTGTAGAGGCTTGCCTCAAACTTGTGATCCTCCTGCCTGAGGCTCTAACTCATTAAATCTCTGTGTGTGTGTGTGTGTGTGTGTGTGTTTCTGGGGATTGAACCTAGGGCCTTGTGCATGCAAGGCAAGCACTCTACCAACTGAGCTATATCTCTAGCCTAAATGAATTAAATTTGATGATAATCCTATAGATTGAGTATTATAATTCACCCTCCTGTTACAGATAAGGAAACTGAGGCACACAGAAGCTAAAAGTCACACAGAAGGGACTGAACCAAGATTTAAGCCCTGGCAATATACTTGTGACCACTTCTTAGTCACTCACATCAACCAGTGGGGAAGAAACCAATTGAAGGAAAATATTTAAAAGAAGGAACATTGACAAGACTTGATAACTGGTTGGATGTAGAAAATGACAGCTTAGGATGTCACTGAAGCATAATATTCATATTTCTATAATACCAAGGGACATTTATCAAAAAGGCAAGATGGCATAGGGTCAGAATGTAAGGTTTAGGGAAAGGGTCAGGGCCATCTATGATCAATTTGGCTTCAGGCCCATGATTTTGCCTTAATTTCTTTTTTTTTTTAAGATTTTTTTTAGATGTTGATGGACCTTCATTTTATTCATTTATTTATATGCAGTGCTGGGAATTAAATCCAGTGCCTAACACATGCTAGGCAAGCACTTCACCACTGAGCCACAACCCCAGCCTCTCTTTTTTTTTTTCCTCTTAATTTCTTGATCTTAAATAAAAAACTGATAAATATTACCCATCCCTTGGAATGTTTGTGAGGATTGAAGGATTTAACATACAAAGATGCCTAGTTTAGCCTGTTGTGGTGGTGCACACTTGCAATCCCAGCAGCTCAGGAAGCTGAGGCAGGAGAATCGAGAATTCAAAGCCAGCCACAGCAATTTGGGAAGACCCTAAGCAATACAATGACAGCCTGTCTCTAAATAAAATACATAAAAAGGGTTGGAGATACGGCTAAGCGGTCAAGCACCCCTGGGTTCAAACTCCAGTACCAAGAAAAAAAGAAAAAGAAGAAGAAAGAAAGAAAAGCCTGGGCTGGCAAAGAGGATACTAACTAAAAGGGAGCTTTTAAATTTATCTGTTAATGAAACATTCTATTGAATTACAGTATTTAAGAAAGGATTTTCCTATTGAAATGTTGCTCCTTCCTTGTAATTTGGAGTCGGTGACCCTAACTTTTAAGTGGATACGTGTGTGTGTTTCTGAAAAGGAGGAAATAAGTTCTCACCACTCTGGTCTGGCTTGAAAGAATAAAGGAGCAAGGTTCAACTAATTTAGAAGATAGGAAAGACACTGCTAAGGAATTCAGGCTGAGTATCATGATGTGTGCTCGCTACCTGGACAAAATAACTGAGACTTAGTGCCCAGCAGGGTCACAGGACAAATTACTGGCAGCAATATCATGGGAAGCAAGACTTTCAGGACTAGGGCAGTAGTTCAGTGGTAGAGACTGGCATGCATGAGGTCCTGGATTCTTTGCCCAGCACCCCCAACAAAAACAAGGTTTAGGGAAAGGGGCCTAGTTCCTCATTTGTCATCCTCACTCCACCCCCTTTACTCAGACTCAGCACTACAAAGAACTTGGCAGAGTGTAGGAGAAGGAAGTTGGACTGATGAGTCTTTCAGAAAAGCCTGGAGGCACTGTGAAGACCGAAGGAAAATCCAATCCCCGACTGTTCTGGTCGGAATGAATTTTTTCCTAGGAGGATGTACCCAATGTCCCGGGGTGGAATTCTCCACTGATCCTGCTGATTCTCTGACTTTTTGTGGTCCTGGACAGGAAAGAAATTTGATGGTGTTTCTGGGGGGAAATGGGGGCACAAAGCATCAATAAAGAAATAAAGAAGGCACCTGCACAAACGGTAGGCACTAAAACTTCCTCAAACACTACCCAGATGGCAACTGCCCAGCCACGCCCCCAAAGGTTTCCACTGGGCGCGAGCAAGAGAAACGCTATTTTCCCAAAATGGAACGAGAGCGAGCGAGAAAATGTCTATCACACCTCCGCCCCACCTCCAATAACAGATACCGCCAATCAGCAGCGCGCAGGGCGGGATCAAGGTCAGGGGCGGGGCCTGCAGTTGCCCTAGCAACAACCAGGGAACCCCAGGCGAGCGCGCGGCCGCGTAAGTGTTGTGCCTCAGATCTCTCGCTGTCAGGAAGGTCCTGGGAGATACGCGATCCAGGCCTGGTTGGCGCCCGCGGAGAAAAGGACTGGTCAGGCCCATGCGCTACAATCTTCACTGCTGCCTTCGCCTCCTAACCGTTAAGTGCGCTGAGGTAGGAATTACGCACGCGCCGACCTTAGAGGCGGGGCTACGACGGCCCTGAATTTTAGACGCATGCGCCCCACGGAGCTTAGGGGCCGTTCTGACGCGACTGGGCGGGACTTTGGGGGTAGTGGGCGGAGTCGTTGTCTATCGGGGAGGAGCTTTCCGCAGGACTGATCCATTGAAGGAGGTTTATTTTAGGCGGGGCAAAGATAGGCGCCGGATTCCTAACCCAGGATGCCCTCTCTATTTTCCTCAGGCTTTCCTGGGAAGGCTGGTTGTTGACTTAGGATCTGTGGTTAAGACCACAGCGCCAGTGGGTTGACAAAACCAGTTTGGAATCCTAGTACTGCTCTATACGTGGTGGATCTCAGTTTCCTAGTCAGATGGAAATAGCACACTTACCTCACAGCTATGATTATATTTTTCTCCTCCCAGGGTCATGGCTGAGGTGCACGTGATTGGGCAGATCGTGGGGGCCACCGGTTTCTCTGAAAGTAGCCTCTTCTGCAAGTGGGGCATCCACACAGGTATTTTTCCCTGGGCCTGGTTCATCTCCCCATCAAAACACCCCACCCCCAGCTTATGGCTCCACACTCCTTTGACTCCCTGAGTCAGTGCCGGCTTCTCTCTTTCCGTTGGCTCTCAGGACTCCTGGTTCAGAACACACTCTGTTTCCAGTCTTATCCCTTTCCATCCTATTTCTGGGGTCTCTGGTTCCCATCCTCTGAGCTTACAGCCCCACGGATGTGGGACTATATGCTTGAACCCTCCATACACACATTTCCATTCCTCCAAAACAGCCGTAACTCTCTCATTTGGATTCCACTCACAATCTTTGGGGTGCCCAGAGACCCCCCCATCTTTGATGAACACTCTCTGTTGTTTATTGCAAAGTAAAAGCTTCCATCCTAGATTTACAGAAGAGGGGCCACTCTCTGGTATTCATGATTCTGTGGACCTCATTCTGGCAGTCGTCCAGGTCTGTTCCCACAGGCCCAGGAGGGACCTTGGAGGCTCCCTTTTCCATGCCTCCTATCTGAGGTCCTGTATGTAGTGGTACAGTGTAATGGATAGGTTCATAGACTGCCAGATCTGGGTTCAAATACTAACTCCCCCAGTTATTATTTGGCGGCCTTTGGACTTGATCTCTCCTGTACCTGTTTCCTCATCTGTAAATGAAGCTAATAGCAGCTAAGAGGCAGCAGAGCTCAGAGATCAGACTTGCTGTGTTCGAAGCCAGTTGTTGCTTATTATGTGATCTTGGGCATTTCTCTTTGCCTTTATTCCCTTGTTGGTACAACGTGAATAATAATACTGAACCTCTGCTGGTTGTTGTCATTACCAAATGATTATCAACGCACTTAAAATAGGACCTGGACTAGGAAGTGTTTGCCTGGCTCGTGTAAGGCTTTAATGTGGTCTTGTTTGTAAAGCACTGTGCCCACAAAATAGATGTGTCTATTGCCATTGTCATCCCTTCAGTCCTGGGTCCTTCCCAATTTTACTGCCAAGTGGTAGCAGTTGAGATTTTCTGGGAAATTGAGATCCTGCAGTTGAGTGGATAAAAGGCAGGGTTTGGAATCAGACTATATTTCCAGTCTGGACCCAACCATTCCTGGACTTTTTGATCCCAGGCAGATGTTGTCCTTTCTTTCAGATGTTGTCCTTTCTTCAGTTGGGGAGTCAGAAAATAAATAAGCAGATAAAGAAATGGTCACAATGACTACAGATCATTGTAAGTTCGAGGAAAAAAGGAAATGGGATGAATGTGATAGGAGCTAGTTTTAATAGAAAAGTCAGAAAGAGGTCCTCTGTGGAAGTGGCACTTGAGCTGAAGGATGAAAAAAGCTAGGAATGGGGACATCCAGGAGCAGAGCTTTCTAGGCAGAAGAAACAGCTGTTGCAAAGGACTTGAGGCAGAACAGAAATGGGACCAGGGAGGCTGGAGGATGGTGATGGGACGTGAGTTCAGGGAGGTGGGGATGGGTTGCAGCATAAGGGGCCTTGTGGACCATGGTAGGGAGCCTGTAAACTGGGGCGGATAGGTTGGAGATTGAAGGGCCAAGCAAGATAGCACATTCCTGTAATTCCAGCAGACCAGGATGCTGCAGCAGGAGGATTGCAAGTTCAAAGCCAACCTCAGCAATTTAGTGAGGCCCTAAGCAATTTTGCTATGTTGCCTCAAAAAATAAAAAGGGCTAGGGTGTGGCTCAGTGGTTAAGTGCCCCAGGATTCAATTCCCAATATCCCCCCCAAAAAAATTCTAAAGGGCAGATTAAATGAATGCATTGTCTGAAGACCTTAGTCTAGTATCTGGCATTTAGTAAGTGCTCAGTGCTCTTGTTCCCCATTCTTATCACTTCTCAGTAGGATCATTGTTAATATGTGTTTTTCATCATGTGCTCCTGGAGGGTACTGTTAGCTGCATCTTTTTTTTAATTTATTTTTTTAGTTGTAGTTGGACACAATACCCCCATTTTGTTTACTTATTTTTATGTGGTGCTGAGACTCGAACCCAGGGCCTTGCACTTGCTAGGTAAGTACTCTACCACTGAGCCATAACCCCAGCCCAGTTGCATATTAGTTCTTGGACCAGGCCTCTGAATATTGGGTGAAAATAGTAATAAGATGGTATTGTAGCTGAGTGTGGTGGCACATGTCTGTAATCCCAGCAGCTCAGGAGGCTGAGGTAGGAGGATCACAGATTCAAAGTCAGCCTCAGCAACTTAGCAAGATCCTGTCTCAAAATCAAAAATAAAAAGGGTTGGGGATGTGGCTCAGTTGTTAAGCGCCCCCTTGGGTTCAGTCCCTGTACTATATATTGCGATTGGGCTGGGGTATAGCTCAATTTAGCATGCACAAGGATTCAATCTCTAGCACACACACATATATACACACACACACACACACACAAAAAAAAAAACTCTAAAATGTTGAAACGTTTTATTCCAACACTTATTATGAATCTTCTCAAAATTATGAGGCTGCATTATTATGCATTATTCATTTTGCAGATGGGGAGACTGAGACAGAGTAAAGTAACTTGCCCAAGGTTGCACAGGCAAAAAGAGAAAGTGCCCAGATTTGGATCCAGACATTTTGCTCCAGAGCCCCACTTTATAACTCCTCCCCTCACCTCCAAATGCTCTTCCTGAAGGCTGTCCCCCACCTCCGTCTACATCTCAGCTCCTCTCCTCGCAGGGGCGGCATGGAAGCTCCTGTCAGGTGTGCGGGAAGGCCAGACACAGGTGGACACCCCTCAGGTAGGGGACATGGCCTATTGGTCTCACCCCATAGACCTGCATTTCGCTACCAAAGGTCTCCAAGGTGAGTACCAGGCCTGGGCCCTGGGACCAGGGACGGAGAGGGGGACTTATAGTACCCAAAGCAGATGAAACTGGGAACACCACTTCTTGTCCTGCTCTCCATATCTTGTGTGTCCCTTTCCTAACCACTGCCCTGAGAGGCTGTGTTAAGGCCTTCCTAGGCCTGTCCTACTGTAGGTCCCAAATATGTGGGATGGAACAGAAGCCAGGGGTGGAGGGGAGATGAGAAAGTGGGGTCAGGATGGGAGGGGTGGTGGCCTTCAAGTAGAGACAATGGAAGAGCCTCCAGTAAGGAGGGAAGCCCGATAAGGGTGTGTGTGCGGTTTATGAGCAGTAGAAAGGGAGGAGGGCCCCCAGTGAGGGGCAGGGACTCCTCAGCTTGAGAACAGAGGTGCTGCTCTAAGGGGAAATGAGTATTCAGGGGAGGAGGTGGATATAAAGCCTTTTCTGGTAGAAAATGCAGTAGATTCCAGAAAATAGCCTGGGGAGAGGTGCTGTATATTTCACAATATCAATACTGTTCACTGCCTGCCTGCCCTGGCCCCAGCCTGTGTTGGTGATGCGAGGGAGACGTCTGTGATCCAGAGAGCCCCACCTCCTGCCCTGTCCTCAGGGGCACCATCCTGTAGGGGAGACCGACCTGCCTCTAGACAGGAACAGCCCAAAGAGGGCAGGGCTAGGATAGGGGATTGTGGGAGGCCAGAGGGAGCCCAGAAGAGGTGTTTGAGCCTGTCAGGGAGGTCACAGAGGTCTCCTGAGGGGCTTGAGCTTTGCTGTGAAGGGCCAGAGAAGCTGGCAAGGTGGAAGAGTCCTGCGCACGGATAGCTGTGTATGGAAGGTTCCAAGGGGAGAGTGAGCAGGGTCTTTTGAGGACTGTGGGTGAGTGGAGGGACAGCAAGGGAAGAGGGGACGGGCCATGCAGGGCCTTGAATGCCAGACTGAGGACTGAGGCCATTCAGAAGTACTCAGGAGCTAGAGCAGGTGAGGAACAAGTCAGATTTTGCTTTTAACAAGTCAGATTTTGCTTTCTGGCTGCCGTATGGGTGTGATTTGGTTCAGCTCTCTAGCCCCCCAGTGCTGGTGTCTTCCTTGCCTTCTCCCTTCTCAGCCCCCCGCCCGTCCATCAGGAAACCCTGCTGGCTCTACCTAATACAGCCTAACATGTACTCTTCTCACCCACTTTCTGCCTAGCATCTGATCTCCATCGTCATCCTCACCTTGGTCATTCAGTAACATCTTCACTGTGCTCCCAGCCCCAAGCCCCGAGGTCTATGTCTCCCACCAACCAGCGTAGCCTTGTGATCACCTAAGTCAGGTCACATCCCACTGTTGAGCCTTCTGGTGGCTCCTGACTCACTCCCTTCCCTCCTTTAGGCAATTGCTCAACCGTCATCTTCTTAGTGAAGCTTTCTTGATCCTTTCCTTTCCCAGGCTTTATCCCCACCTCCACCCCACCCGGATTTATTTTTCTCCAGAGCAGTTATCACCATCTGACGTACCCTATAATTTGCTTATTTACTATGTTCAGTTGTCTAGGATGTCAGCCTCAGAGGGCAGAGATTTTTGTCTGCTGTGCTCACCACTGTGTCCCCAGCTCTAAGACAAGACCTAGCACAGAGGAGGGGCTCAGAATACAGGGTGAGATGGCTTGGGTCTCCAAGACTTTGACTACCAGGCTGAGGAGCTGAACTGTATCTGAGGACTCTGGCAAGTGTATGGAAGAGCAGAAAGATGCTTCTAGCTGCCAGAGGGGGGTAGATAAGACAGGGCAAGAATGAAGGCCCTGAGCCCAGAGTGGGAGAACAGGACCGTGCTAAGAGGAGGGAAGGCAGAAGACGTCTAGGGCAAGGCCCAAGACACTGACCTGGGACCTAGAGGAGCAGTGGGCTGCCCTGACAGGGAAACTTTGAGGAGGCACTCATAGAGAGGCCATATCTGAAGGACCTTGAATATCGAGGAGGTTGGACTTTGTACTGAGGGCACTGGGGAGCTATGGAAGAGTTTTGAGCAGGGGAGTAACATGGATTTAGAGAGATCCCTTTGGCTGCTGTGTGGCATTGAATCAGGAGTTGGGAACCCAGAGAGGAGGCTAGGGCAAAACCCTGAGGGGAAAGAACTGGGTCCAGAGTCTTCAATGGTATCAGGGAGGTGGGGACCCAGGAGGGGGAAGCTGGGTACTACCATCCCTCGTTTTCTTCTCTCCATCCTATCCTGCAGGTTGGCCCCGACTCCATCTCCAGGTGTGGTCCCAGGACAGCTTTGGCCGCTGCCAGCTCGCAGGCTATGGCTTTTGCCATGTGCCCAGCAGCCCAGGCACCCACCATCTGGAATGCCCCACTTGGCGGCCCCTGGGCAGCTGGAGAGAGCAGCTGGCGAGGGCCTTTGTGGGTGGTGGGCCACAGCTGCTGCATGCAGACACTATCTACAGTGGGGCGGACCGGTATCGTCTGCACACAGCTGCAGGTGGCACTGTGCACCTTGAGATTGGCCTGCTGCTGCGCCACTTTGACCGCTATGGAGTGGAGTGCTGAGGGACCCTGGTCCTCATCCACAGCCCTGGATACCTGGTGAGGGCAGGATGGCTCAGGGGTCAAGATCAGCGGCTCTGGAGACTGTCAGACCTCATTCCAGCCAATGCATGGCCCCGCTTCTGTCCTAGGCCAGTAACTGCACCCTGGAGGCACAGTTTTCCACTCTGTCACACTAGGACAGTATGAGGGCCACAGGGGTAGGGGGGTAAGAGGCTGCTTGGCACATAGGAGGTATTCAATAAAGGCAAGCAGTTCTTACAGGTGTGGTACCTCCCTGATGGCCTTCATCTGTCACATGTCCTGTTGCCCATCCTTTCACCGACACCTTCTCTCTTCATGCCTCCATCTCGTGACAGAAGTCAGAAGTCATCTCCTGTCCCAGTTTCTCACTTTCTTCCCCTTCTGGGTCCCCCTCCTCGGATCCCCTCTCCCTTTATCCCTGATCTCCCATTGAGCCCTCCCTGCCCGGTTTGCATTTTCTCGATGACCCAACACCAACCCCCAAAGCCACCGCTAATCTCCGCCACCCGCTCTAGTATGGCTCAGCCGCCAGGAGGCAGCACCCTGTCCACGGGGCGGAGCCGGGGTGCCTGCCCCCTCCCCCCGGGGCTGAAGGGACCCCCCTCGGAGCCCGCCCACGCGAGATGAGGACGGTGGCCCCCCCATGCCCTCCCCCTGGGGGTTGCCCCCGCCCCGCGCGCTTCCTGGGTGGGGCCGGGGCGGCCTCAAAACCCCCGCCGCCCTAGCCGGTCCCCGCCGCCGCCGTCGCCGCCCTTCGCGCCCCGGGCCGTCCCCCTCCCTCCTCCCGCCGCGGATCCGCCAGACAGCGAGGCCCCCGGCCGGGGCAGGGGGACGGCCCCTCCGGGGCACCCCGGGCTCTGAGCCGCCCGCGGAGCCGGCCTCCGCCCGTTGCGGAGGAAGGAGCTGCCGAGCAGCAGCCCGAGGCCCCTGAGTCTGAGACGAGCCGCTGCCGCCCCCGCCGCCGCCGCCGCCGCCACCGCGGGGAGGAGGGGGAGGAGGAGCGGGAGGAGGGACGAGCTGGTTGGGAGAAGAGAAAAAAAAGTTTTGAGACTTTTCCGCTGCCGCTGGGAGCCGGAGACGCGGGGACCGCTTGGCGCGGCGCTGCCCCGCGAGGAGGCAAGACCTGGAGACTCCAGACCGCCCCCCGCTCACCGCCCCGGACGCTCGCTCCCTCCCTGCCCCCTACACAGCGTCCCCCCGGCTCCCCCATACCGGACCAGCTCTCAGGAGCCGCAAACCCCGCCTCCCGCGAAGACTTCACCCCAGACCTGGGGCGCACCCCCCTGCACGCCGCCCTTACCCAGCCTGTCTCCCGAGCCACCGCGCATCCTAGGACCCTCTCTCCTCCCGGGGACGGATCTCTCTCAGACCTGCCACAGCTCTCCCATTCAAGACCACCCACCTTCTGGTACCAGATCTCGCCCATCTCGATCTTCTCCCTGGGATATTGAGACAACCCGTGTCAGAGCCTCCCCGAGACCTGTGCTTCTTTCTTCCGGAGGCCTTCAATTTCCTTCCCCCGAGGCCCTTCTACCTTTCTCCGGGAGACCCCCAGACCCTACAGGGGCGGGGCCCCCCATCCCATCTCTGCCCTATTCGCGCTCTCGGCAGGGCCGGGGGGCGCCGCCTCCCCCATGCCGCCCTCCGGGCTGCGGCTCCTGCCGCTGCTGCTACCGCTGCTATGGCTACTAGTGCTGACGCCCGGCCGGCCAGTCGCGGGACTATCCACCTGCAAGACCATCGATATGGAGCTGGTGAAGCGGAAGCGCATCGAGGCCATCCGTGGCCAGATTCTGTCCAAACTACGGCTCGCCAGCCCCCCGAGCCAGGGGGAGGTGCCGCCCGGCCCGCTGCCCGAGGCCGTGCTCGCCTTGTACAACAGCACCCGCGACCGGGTGGCGGGGGAGAGCGCCGAGCCGGAGCCCGAGCCCGAGGCGGACTACTACGCCAAGGAGGTCACCCGCGTGCTAATGGTGGAAAGCACCAACAGTGAGCTCGGAGGGGTGGGGGAGCCGGGACGGGGCCCCCAGGGGGCGCCGGAGTGCAGGGGTCACGGGGAGGAAATTACTGGCAGAGGAAACTGGCTGGAGGAAGGGGACCCCCGGGGTCGCCAAGATTGTGTGTGTGTTGTCCCGTTCCAAGTAGGATGCCGGAGAGCTGCCTCCCTCCCCACTCCTCCAAGGTTTCTGGTCTTGGAGAGAAGGGGGAGAGTGAACGAAGTAGACCACTTCCAGAGGGCGACAGGAGTATGTGGGAACGTGGGGGAGAGCCCCCTAGAGAGAAAGAAGCAATTGAGAGATTAAAAAAAGTGCTTCCTCTCCGGGGTGTGCTGGAATACGGGGGTAGTGGGATTCCCTTTGCACAGAGGATAGCCCGGTTGGGGAGAAACGAAGACCCCAGCATTTGGGAAAGGAGAGGCAGTGGGAAAGCTGCCCTAAAAGCTCTGGGGTCGTTGCGACAGTAAGATTCAAGGCTAGAAAAGTAGGTGTGGAGAACCCCAGAAGTGCCAGAAAAGCGTAGAATAGACTCTCTTTCAGAGGTCGCCAGGAACACGCGGGATTGTGGGAGATCGTGGAGAGAAGTGACCTGGGTTGAGTGTGATAGATGAGGGACGAAAGGGATGCATAGGCGTTGGGAGAAGGAGGCTAGCAGGAGAGCGGGCCGGGGATGCATGGGGAGAAGCCTGGGGTGTTTCGGAAAGGGACAAGAGCCCTAGTGCCGAGCCCAGCAGGGGAAGTGAAATCAGTCACGGGAAGGGGGTCAGAGGAACTCCGATCATGGGAAGGGGGTTACAAAGAGGGGACACAGGCATGGGAAAGCTGTAACCCACGAGGCGGGCAGAGCAGTTATATGGTGCCATACCATGCTGAGAGCAGCGAATCCCCTCGCTGCGGCAGGGAAAGCAGTAGATTGAGTGAGAAACTGAACCCCTGGGGTAAGTGTGATAAGAGGCGACAGCACTAGAGACCGAGGTGAGAAAATCGAGTTGGTAGGGGTGAGAAAGCCCCACGTGGGTGCCACGCGCGGGGGGAGGAGCCTGCGCTTCCAGGAGTCAGGAGGACCTCGCAGGGCTGAACATTGGCAGCCTGGCCCCCAAAGCCCCAGTTCCACTTTGGGAGGCTGGGGAAACCCCAGCGTCCGGCCGCCTCGCTCTCCTCCCTTCCCTTTCCTTCCCGTGCCCCGGGGGCGGGGGCGGGGATCGCGCGCAGAGCCCGGGGCGAGACGGGGCAGGTCTGGTCCCCGCCCTCGCGGCTGCGTTGCCTCCCACCCTGCTCATCGCAGCAACGGGCGGGGCTACTCCTGCGCCCGCCCCGTCGGCGCCCACGCGGGGACGCAGGCACCCCGCATGGCCCGGAGCTTTGGGGGCGATCCCCCAGGTTTCCCTTTCTCTCTTGGGCGATGGGCTTTCCAGTCCCCCGTGCATTCCTGCGCCCAGTTTGTGGCTCCAACCAAAAGATGTCCCCTCCTCACCTACTTCTCTGTGTCGCCTTTTTTCGTTATATAGGTTTTACATTGATACCTTCGATTCCTCTTTCTCCCCTGAGTTGTCTCCATCTCTAATTGCTTATCTCTCTTCTCGACCGCGCCTGCTCTCTGGCCCGCGATCTTTCCATCTCTTCCCTCATCCCATTCGTGCCTTTGCCCACATATAGGTCTCGGGGTGTGTCTCTCCATGCATTCCTTCTCTATCTGCTTCCCCACACCTCGTCCCATGACTCTGCTGTCTCTCCCTTTGTGCGGTACCCCACAACCCTTCCTGCCCTTTTCCCCCACCCCTATCTGTTACCCCCTACCAAGGCTCTGCCGTTCCCTTCGGGATTGCTGAGTAACCACTGTGCCAAGAATAGGGCTTGTGGGGGCGGGGAGGGCTGGAAGGGGTTTCCTTAGTTCTTCCTCCTCAAATTATCTCCATCATCTCTGCAACCCCACTTGTAGACTTGCAAAAAACCACCCCAGTAGATCCAAGAATTCACTGCCTGCATTTCATCCCCAACCCAACATTTCCTAGACTAGATGATGCTCTTCTCCCCACTTCAGGCTTTCCCTCCTAAAAGGAACTTCATCTTCTCCAGCAGCTGGGAGAAGGAGTTGAGGGAGGAAGCAATTCATAATAATAGTAATAATAATAATGTCACATTGGCAGGAAGACAGCATAATTTAGGGGTTAAAAGAGCGCAGTCCTTAGAACCAGCCTGCCTGAGCTGAATCCCATTCTGCCACTTTCTAGCTGTGGGTCTTTGAATGATTCCTCTCTTTGTGCCGAATTCAGTCTCCATCTATTACACGGATACACAGTGTTGTCATGAGGTTTCAGTGTCTTCTTTGTACTATGGTTTGAACAGCATCTGACAAATAGTGTTCTTGTTTGTTTGTTTAGTACCAGGAATTGAACCCAGAGGCACTTAACCATTAAGCCACATCCCCAGACCTTTTTTTATATTTTATTTAGAGACAGGATCTCACTGAGTTGCTTAGGGCCTCTCTAAGTTGCTGAGGCTGGCTTTGAACTCCTGATCCTCCTGCTTCAGCCTCCTGAGATACTGGGCTTACAGGGTGACCCACTGTGCCTGGCTAAAATTGTGCTCTTCAACATACACATTGTTGAGTGACTGGTGTGCACAGACTCTGTCACATGCTTTACCTGCACCATCTATGATCCTGGCATTGGGTGGTCTCTCACAGATGAAGATCTGGCTCAGGGAGAGGATTTGCTAGCCACAGGTTACACAGTGCTTCCGTCAGGAGAATCTAGGTAGGATGTCAGGGAGTTCAATGAGTTTGCTGTTTTTCAAAGAATAACAGGAAACTGAGGTTCAGAGAGGGGACGTGAACTGCCCAAAGTCACACAGCTGAGAGACAGCAAAGGCACTTTCTGATCCCAGAGCCCATACCTTTGAACCTTTCTCTGCAATTAAATTTGTATTTGAGGTTCCAAGCCCTGGGGAAGCCTAAGCAAGCAGAGCAACCCCTCTTGGTGGCAGCCTATGCTGGGTGGGTGTTCGATAGATGATGCCTGGTGGGAGAGAAGGTGGATAGGTCTTGTCGTACAGAGGAGGAAACAGAGGGGAAAAGCACCCCAATCCAGAACCATCAGCTGCACACACTGAAACTTGGGGTCTTCCTGCTCCCCTTACTCTGCCAAACCCCTGATATCCTCTGTCTCTCCTCCTGCCTAGAAATCTATGAGAAAACCAAGGACATCTCACACAGCGTGTACATGTTCTTCAACACATCAGAG